GGAGCGCTCCCGCTGCTCCCGCCCGGCACGGCTCGGTGCCCTTTCCCGCAGCAGGGACGCGGGGCCAAACAACGCTTTGCAAACCAACCGGAAAGACTGAAGCATCACAAGAGCTATTTGGCCCTGAACCCTCCCCCCGCCAGGGTAACCGCACCCCCCAACACGCACCCAACCCAGAGCCTCCCACTGCCCACAAGCAACAGGGCTCAGCAAATTGAACTGGACAAAGGCAGACCCAGAGGGAAATACGTCTCGATTTTATTGCTTCATGTTCGTTATCACCTCCTAACCCAGAGGTTGCAGCTGGTTCCAGCTGCTGCTACATAGTGCAGCCTCCCCCAGCACATCCCGCACTAATCCTGCTTCAAGGAGCCTTTCAGCAACTGACTTGGAGCTTGAAGGCTGGTATTTGGCTCTTAGTTGAAGACACATGGAACTGTCAAGTCAGTGTCTGAGCTCCAGTGGTTAGTTAGGCCAGGCAATAGAGGTGGTGAAGACCAGAAGTACTGAGCTGGCCAAGTGCCTGGCTCAGGACCACACAGCAGGGCATTGAGGGTGGCAGATACTGCCTGCTTGTTCATAAATTGTTCCTAAGCTGCCTGACAGACATCCACAAAATGCACTTCCCAGAGGGCACAGAATGCCTTGAAGTGCAGAGCATATGTACAAATGCATCAGGCATAAGAAAAAACTTTTGTTTCCTGGCTCAGAAGAGCCCTCACACTCTGGCCAAAGACCTCCCTTCAGAGCAGAGTCTGACAGTGCAGTAACCACAGAGGAGGCAGCTGTGTTGAGGAGGCAAGTGTCTTCAAAGGAAGATGCCTTGTTCAGCATCCAAGTATTTGACAAACTCATCTGAATACTGCCTCCTACTTAAACACTTTGAGTCTCCTACTTCCACTTTAATGAATACAAACAGGTGAACAATCCATTTTAATCTCTTGCTAAACTTTCATAAGTACATTAAGCTAGTACATACACAGCAGCAGTGTCTAGTCGCCAAGACAGGCTTGTTACTTCTATACTTATGGGCTACTGCTGTGTGCATTTATGTCCATTCACCTCCCCATATTTAAAATCTCCAGCTATTATCCAAGTGTGGCAAATTCAGGTAAGAAAGCATTTTTCTGTTCTAGAAAATGAGAAAGTTCAAGCCTAATCTTCAAATGTCAAAACTAAACCCTGCAGCAGTAATAAGCAGTTGCTTTCTTCATTGAATCACAAAAATTCAGCTGTTGCTGTTAGTGTTTTCCTCTAGCATTCAACAGTAAAATGTTTATTTCCAAGCTTGCTACACTTCTGCATGACAAATCACCCTCAAGTCTACTAGCTTCACCTACATCTGGTAGTGAAACATTAAAATAGTCTAACTAAAGTCTGTAATAAAAGGTTGCTACTTTGTACAACACTTTAGTAAACAACTCATTTATTTTAATTTAAAACTTCATTGCACATAGGAGATAAGGAATCAAAGGACAAGTAGGTGGAAATAAAGAGACAGGCTTCCAATACAGAGAATATGCCTTTTTGTCAGAGTGACACAGCTTAAAATACAACTATTGCAGCACATCCATGAACAGAACCATTAGACTCAGTTTGACTGCATGAAGACTGTTAGAATTCTATTGTCTTAATGCAGTTCATCAGATAATCCATAGCCAACTTAAAAAAAACCTGTGTGAGTGAAGAGTAACACCTGAACACTTTAAAGATCACAGTTGCCAAGAATTCTTCATTTCAACTCAAGTTCAAAACTTGAGTAGAGGGGAATCCAGATTTTCTTTGTTTACATCAGGACTCAGAGTGATAAGAGGAGAACTCAAATCAATTAGCTGAAAGAAAACCAATAAAATTTAGCTGTTGTAGTCAGCTGTTGTACATAACTACTAGCAGCAATAATCTTTATTGAAAGTTTTCTCAAGTACTCTTTTTTGTTTAGGATTCCTATTAAAATCCAGAAGACAGAGACAAGCATCACACAAGCTTTTAGGTTCAGGCTTTTAAATATCTAGCTCATTCTTAGACAAGGACAAGCTTCTCTCAAGATGGTTACTGCCCATACTCACCTTAAAAGCCTAAAAGACTTTTCTAAGATGCACTCCTGTGCATATTCAAGTGAGATTATCATCCAGGCAGGACAGAACACTTCTGAACTCCTCTGAACTTGCCCCCAGAAGTCAGATTTCTGTGATCCTCCTTTGAGATACTTGGAAGGACCTGATTTTGAATTGATCCCAACTACATCTAATACTAAAGGCTATATCTTCAGTCACCATCATTCAATCTGGCAATGCATAAAAGGAATCTACCTTAAAAAGTCACTAGTGTACAAAAAAACACTTGCCCCAAAATGCTTGTCCAATTTAGAGTGGATTCCAATGCACATCTTTCAACTAAGGAGGGGATTAGGAGAGGAGTTAAACAGGAGACAGTCCTGAATTTTTGCTGAAAATGAACTGCTACTGCCAAGAACTGAACATTTGCTTGAAAAGGAAAACAAGAGCCAGCATGCCTACTCTGCTGAAAACAGCATTCAGTTCCTGCTTCAGAACAGTTTCATTCTTTAACAATGGCTTTAAATATTAAGTTCTTCCATCCTTCTCCTATTTGCAGGTTGATTCCAGAGATGTAGTTCAGAGCACACTGTCTGATTTTAAACAATGTTCTCTTTATTTAAGAGCATCCTAGTATGTAGTATTACAATTACCATATTGAGCTAGTATTCAGTCATTCTTACAGTACTGTGGAGCTACTCTGCAGACAAGCATATGCAGTCAGTTGACATTCTTCTGCTAGCATATATGCACCAGAAGACTTGAATGTAACTTACCTTTACCTGCCCTGAGAATACAGGCTTTAGAGGAGTCATCTTATTCACTTCAGGAGTATTGGAAAGGTCAATCAGAGGTCTACTTTCACATTCCAAAGCGTGTGGGAGAGATTTGTCTATTTCAATATCTACTAGCAAGGCCTTAAAAAAAAAGATAGTTCAGATTTTCTGTGCTTCCATCATAAACATTCAGGCAGTCAGTGTACTTATGCAGCTGCAACAATAACAGGACAGGCTTAATTTACAGCTTGCGTATTTTTCATGCAGGATTGTTTGCACACAGTGTAAAAACATCAGCTCTTGCCCTACCTATAGCAAACCTCACAAATAGGGAAATGCAGTGACACAAAAGAGCTCCTTGGGGCATAGAACAATTTTTCACTTAAAAGCAAAGTTAAGTCAAATTTAAAACCTAAGTAATAAACTTTCTTAATATTTAAATTACTTACTACAATTATTGTGCAATGTTATTTAGCAATATTAACTATTCTGCAGAGCTCCAGACTTAGTTATGCTTTTGTTCAGTTTAACTACTCTACATACGTACTAAGCAATTCTGTAACAGATACTTCATGTCAGCAAGTAAGCTAACAAGCAAATTACTGATGCAATAACATGAAGTAATTACAGATTCTACACCTGAATATTTTAAAATCCATAGCCACTTTGACAGGTTAATTTTCAGAACTACCAGTTCAGTCCTTTCTCCTTAATGCCTGTAAAGTGCCAGCTTTCAACAGGAAGCCAGTAAATTCTTGGGAGAGGGGAAAAAAAGTGTTCACTGGACTAAGTATGTGAAAACTAAATTTAATGCTACATGGGCCTTCGGGTTTGCACTGCTGTTAGGTGACTGATTTTAACTACAACAATACAGATTTTTCAAAAGGGCTTCATGGCTGCAATAGAACTTCCCTTTGACACTGCTTTTCTAATCAAATCCACAAGGACTTTACAGCACTTATCCAGAAGTGGAAATTTAATAAGAAACCTGCAAATATTTCACCATTCAGCTTTGAGATGTGAGAACACTGAACAGAAGTTCAGTGCTAAAAACAGGCACTAGAGGGTGCACACCCTTAGAGCGAATCTATTTTAACTTTGTAAGTGGTTTGTCTACTTACCCCTCATCTTGAAACAACTTATTTTCAATAAGTTTACTTACTAGTTCTGTAGAAAAATCTACTGTTATTGCTTACCTCCGTTTTTTTCTCTTCAGCCAGGTGATTTTGTACTTCAGCCTCTTGTAATTCATGTTCTTCTGCTTCTGTAACATTTTTTTCTGGTGAGAAGTTAAGTGCAAGAGGTAGCACAGGAAGAGGAGATACATCATCTTCTGAAGATGATGTCTGTGGCTTAGTCTCTTTTGTCTGTTTAGAACTAGGGAAAAGAGCATTAGTAATAATTTAGTTCTTTAATCAGCATGAACTACTAAAACCAGACATGCCTGTGTCCTAACCTTGGTTTCTCTTTTTTTACTCCAAGTTTTAATGACCATAAGGTTTCACATATTTTTACCCAAAAGAATGCAAACTACCTGCAAAATGCAAGATATTTTGTTCTGCAATAAATTTATAGTCTACCCATGCAAAAAGAAAACATTAGCTAATGACTTCAGAAAGATGAAGAATTTAATCTTAAATACACGCAGCCTAGACTTCACAAAAATGATTTTTTAGACTTTGACAAAACAACTAGCAAACAGGTACTAATATTGCATATCATTTAGCAACCCACTTCAGGGCCTGCTGAGAAGAAGTACTGACACCAGCTGGAAGACCAGGGGTTGGAATCAAGATTAGTATGGTAGTCATTGTAGGGGGAGCAATTGTTTTCTTGAGAGAAAAGACTATTTTGGACATTTAGCCTAAGTAACATGACATATAGGCAGAGTAGTCTAGCCATGAATCATTCCTACTTTAACACTGTTCATAACCAACCATGAAGCAAGTCTGAGAATATGTTGGGCTGATACTATGAAGGAGACATTCTTTCATAGAAAACAAACATAATTAACAACAATGTAGGTTTCACCCATTTTGCAACCAATTATTTCAAAAGAAACATAGGTAAACCTCCTCCAAAACTGAAGTTAAGTCAATTAAATCCTTGGCTTTTTGATTGATGCTTTAAGAAAGTGATAAACTTTACAGCAGCGCTGGCAATAGTATAAAACAAATTTAAGAGCAATATGTTTTAATCAGCTGTTTCCCTTCATCAGAAGACAACGGCAAAATAAAACCAATACCAAATCTGTTTTCAGTCAGAGCATTAGATACAAGCCCTAAATTGTCTGCTAGCTCAAGAAATAATAATAATTTCCTATTAGATATTATATTTGTTTAGTGTTAGATATTGACTCATCTCAGTAAGGCTTATAGTATTTTACTGTAGGCCTCTTTATTAGGCCTAAAGTGCATCTATGCTCAAATGCCTTATTGTAACATTTAACAAGAGGTCTTTGAAACCTGAAAGTCATCATAAAAATCCACTTAGAGGCAGTTTGCCTACAATACTTATTCCATATGTGGATGTTTCTGTCTTACCCAGCTGCAAAAGTCTTTTTGGTAGAAAAGCCGGAACTTCGACAAACAGATGCAGCACTTGGAGAAAATGTCATTCTTGGTACAGTTGTAGGAGTCACTGCTGGAAACCCTGAGATACGACGAACAGGTGTAGGTAAGCCAGACCGTCTCAGACTGGCAGGAGTCATGGAGACAGGCTTCTCAGGAACACAAAAATTCTGGAAGATCCCATCTGCCGAGGCTTTCACAGGAGTGCTGACTGCCATGGCACTAAAAAAAGGAACATGCAATTAGCCAAAATCTTCTAAACCCAGTTTTATTCAAACTATTCTGTCAAAAAGTAGAAATCAGTTTCCTTTTAGTCAATAAGGGTGCAGTAATCATGATGAGGTCGATAACCTCAGCATAGGCTTTAATTCAGAGGAATTATTTAATGAATGACTCAAGCTTATTTAGCACTGCAAAGAAAACCGTCCTCGTCCAAAGCGTAGGGGGGGACGGCGGGCCTTGCTTGGGTTTTTTTTTGTTTGAAGTCAGTTCCAATATGGAACTTTTAAAGATTGTTGCAGCACCCAGCCAGGTGCCATGGTAAGAAGCATGCTTCAGTGCCCTCCATTTTCAGTTATGCCCTACCTTCCAAGGGTGCCACAAAATGATCCAAGAGATGGTGGTGCTGCTTTTGGTGCCAATTTATTTGATGGTGTATCTGAAGACAAAAGTTTTGTTAGCTGCTATCCACATTCATATTTATTTTTTATAACAAATACCTTTCAGTTAAAATACTAATTCCTTCCAGAGATGGACAGAGGTATAATGAAACAAGTAACAAGCATTTGTGGTAACATTTGCTTTCAATAGCCAAGCTAGAGAACAGGTCATGCTAAGTCTGTGCTTACCTCCAGTCTTCACTGGACTATCAGCTTGACTTGTAGGATCAGACAAAACTGTACCCTTGGCCTTTGGACACAGGCTTCCTTTTGTTGCACTTCCATCTTTATTCTGCTGGCAGAACTTCTGCAGATTGGGAACAGAGCTCTGCCTCTGAATCCCACTGCCTACAGCATCAGATGGTGTTGCAAAAGCTGAAGATTTAGCCAAGCTTGAAGCACTAGCTATTTTGGGAGTACTAGCTGATCTTTCTTGCTTCCTGGATTTCTCAGTATTGGCAGCCTGCAGAGATGACACGCTGGTAGGTCTGACAAGGGCCAGTCTGTTTGTACTAGATGAAAGCTTAGAGCCACTCACACCAGCTTTTGAAGATGTGCTTGATTTTCCTGAAATAGAAAGTTATTATACTTCAGAGTAATTGCTTATTGCTTTGACTAAGAAGAATAATTACACTCCTACAGGAAAGAAAAACAGCAATTTACAGCATTTAAATTTATATTCAAACAACTCGAGTTCAAGAAGAACACATCCAACTACTGAAAACTTACTCCAAATTCACCAGCTGTTTTTTCCATTTTAGAAAGTCCCTGCACCAAATTCCTGAATTACTGCAATCAAGCCAAAGAATATTCCTCAAAGAATGCCAGACTGCAGACTAAAGATTACATTTTCTAAATTTTCTCCCAGCAATTTGGCTCTGTTCCCTTAAGTGTAATATTCAGTGTAATAGTTCAAGTTGCACTAATGAGCACCACCTGCTGACCTACCCCACAAGTGCTTTTCTGTTTTCTATATGGCTCTTACCTTTGTAAGATACATTCGTTAATAGGATGAGTCTTGACTAGACACTTCTATTGTATAAAATAATTCTTATTAAGCTTTAACTTTTACTGATATATTACTATCCATCCAGAAACAAAGTACAAAATAGAGATTTGCAGTAACCTGGTATCTTAATAGATCTACAAGAACCATGGTGCTTACATCTGTATTTTTAGACTATTTTCCTGATCCTTTGAGGCTTACTGAAAGGGTCAAATTGTCATCCTCATTATAATATAAGCCTCTTGGTTGTATTCAGTTATCTCCCCCGAGTTATTTTTCCACCTGCTTGAATAAAGTTCATCTTTCATCAGGATTACAGAAACTCAGATTTTGAAACTAGGCCTTCCACCTTCATTCTGTCTTTCAAATGTTTTGGTGTCAAGTTCTTTTGTGTTTTCTTGTGGTTTTAATTCAAGGTGGACAAGCTTACAGCATTCAGAAGCTCATGTACTTGGCTGTAATAGAGAAGATCATGTATAAAAAGAACATGTTTCCTCAGGCATTGCTCACTTTCTAGCTGCATCAGACCCTTACATGTAGGCATCAGGCTTACAAAAACTTAAGTTTTTACAAGTGATAGATGTATCTTTAGTCCACAGGGATTTTTTTAGGCTACCCTATACAATTTTATTCTCCATTCAAAACATTTTTTACTGCTTGCATGCTTAGCTACTTCAAAATTGATTTGTGGCACAAATCTGTAGGAAGAATTATTACCATTTTTTCCTATGGGAGAAATGGGTAAACTTGAATTCAGACTTGAGTTCTTGCTGGAAGCTGATGACGATGATGATGATGAAGTAGCCCTTCTTGTGAGACCACTGGCAACACCAGAAAGTTTCAGTTGTGTTATCTTCTTTAAGCCAGGCTGAATTAGAAAATACAGAAAAAAAACCCTATTTAACATGTTATTGTGCCGTGCTCTTTCTTGGTGTAATAGCTTTTCGTTTGTGAATTTTAGAGAAGTTCCTTCCTCAGAGTATAGTTTTAAAAGTTATTTTCTTTTAGAAACAGTTCAAGATATCTGGATTATTATACAGAACTGGAACATCAGATCTAGGAGGTGAACTGTTATTTTTACTCCTGCCACAAACCTGAGTATGGACTTAAAGGGATTAAACAATAAAAGGAGTAACTCCAGGCACCGGTATATGCTTGGCACCAACGACTTGGAAAGTAGCTTTGCAGAAAAGGCCCTCAGGAGTGCTGGTGGACAAGCTGAGGATGGGCCAGCAACATGCCCTTGCAGCAAAGAATGCCAACAGGATCCTGGGGTGCATGAGGAGGAGTTGCCAGCAGTTGGAGGGAGGTGATCCTTCCCCTCTGCTCACCACTGGGGAGGCCACACCTGAAGATCCATGTCCTGTTCCAGGCTGCCCAATATGAGGGCAATTTGGAGCTACTGAAAGGAGTACAGCAATGGGCCATTAATGTGATTAAGGAACAGGAATCACAGAATCTTAAGGGTTGGAAGGAACCTCAAAAGATCATCTAGTCCAACCCCCCTGCCAAAGCAGGATCACCTAGAGCACATCACACAGGAACGTGTCCAGGGGGGTTTTGAATGTCTCCAGCGAAGGAGACTCCACAACCTCTCTGGACAGCCTGCTCCAGGGCTCTGTCACTGGAACAGTAAAGAAGTTTTTTCTCCAGTGGTGTCCAGTGACAGGACCAGAGGGAATGGCCATGGACTGGAAAATGGCAGGTTCCTACCCCTTAACATCGGGAAACGCTTTTTTACTATGAGGGTCATAAGCTCTGGCACAGGTTGCCCAGAGAGGTTGTTGAGTCTCCATCATTTTTCACTTAAAAGCAAAGTTAAGTCAAATTTAAAACCTAAGTAATAAACTTTCTTAATATTTAAATTACTTACTACAATTATTGTGCAATGTTATTTAGCAATATTAACTATTCTGCAGAGCTCCAGACTTAGTTATGCTTTTGTTCAGTTTAACTACTCTACATACGTACTAAGCAATTCTGTAACAGATACTTCATGTCAGCAAGTAAGCTAACAAGCAAATTACTGATGCAATAACATGAAGTAATTACAGATTCTACACCTGAATATTTTAAAATCCATAGCCACTTTGACAGGTTAATTTTCAGAACTACCAGTTCAGTCCTTTCTCCTTAATGCCTGTAAAGTGCCAGCTTTCAACAGGAAGCCAGTAAATTCTTGGGAGAGGGGAAAAAAAGTGTTCACTGGACTAAGTATGTGAAAACTAAATTTAATGCTACATGGGCCTTCGGGTTTGCACTGCTGTTAGGTGACTGATTTTAACTACAACAATACAGATTTTTCAAAAGGGCTTCATGGCTGCAATAGAACTTCCCTTTGACACTGCTTTTCTAATCAAATCCACAAGGACTTTACAGCACTTATCCAGAAGTGGAAATTTAATAAGAAACCTGCAAATATTTCACCATTCAGCTTTGAGATGTGAGAACACTGAACAGAAGTTCAGTGCTAAAAACAGGCACTAGAGGGTGCACACCCTTAGAGCGAATCTATTTTAACTTTGTAAGTGGTTTGTCTACTTACCCCTCATCTTGAAACAACTTATTTTCAATAAGTTTACTTACTAGTTCTGTAGAAAAATCTACTGTTATTGCTTACCTCCGTTTTTTTCTCTTCAGCCAGGTGATTTTGTACTTCAGCCTCTTGTAATTCATGTTCTTCTGCTTCTGTAACATTTTTTTCTGGTGAGAAGTTAAGTGCAAGAGGTAGCACAGGAAGAGGAGATACATCATCTTCTGAAGATGATGTCTGTGGCTTAGTCTCTTTTGTCTGTTTAGAACTAGGGAAAAGAGCATTAGTAATAATTTAGTTCTTTAATCAGCATGAACTACTAAAACCAGACATGCCTGTGTCCTAACCTTGGTTTCTCTTTTTTTACTCCAAGTTTTAATGACCATAAGGTTTCACATATTTTTACCCAAAAGAATGCAAACTACCTGCAAAATGCAAGATATTTTGTTCTGCAATAAATTTATAGTCTACCCATGCAAAAAGAAAACATTAGCTAATGACTTCAGAAAGATGAAGAATTTAATCTTAAATACACGCAGCCTAGACTTCACAAAAATGATTTTTTAGACTTTGACAAAACAACTAGCAAACAGGTACTAATATTGCATATCATTTAGCAACCCACTTCAGGGCCTGCTGAGAAGAAGTACTGACACCAGCTGGAAGACCAGGGGTTGGAATCAAGATTAGTATGGTAGTCATTGTAGGGGGAGCAATTGTTTTCTTGAGAGAAAAGACTATTTTGGACATTTAGCCTAAGTAACATGACATATAGGCAGAGTAGTCTAGCCATGAATCATTCCTACTTTAACACTGTTCATAACCAACCATGAAGCAAGTCTGAGAATATGTTGGGCTGATACTATGAAGGAGACATTCTTTCATAGAAAACAAACATAATTAACAACAATGTAGGTTTCACCCATTTTGCAACCAATTATTTCAAAAGAAACATAGGTAAACCTCCTCCAAAACTGAAGTTAAGTCAATTAAATCCTTGGCTTTTTGATTGATGCTTTAAGAAAGTGATAAACTTTACAGCAGCGCTGGCAATAGTATAAAACAAATTTAAGAGCAATATGTTTTAATCAGCTGTTTCCCTTCATCAGAAGACAACGGCAAAATAAAACCAATACCAAATCTGTTTTCAGTCAGAGCATTAGATACAAGCCCTAAATTGTCTGCTAGCTCAAGAAATAATAATAATTTCCTATTAGATATTATGTTTGTTTAGTGTTAGATATTGACTCATCTCAGTAAGGCTTATAGTATTTTACTGTAGGCCTCTTTATTAGGCCTAAAGTGCATCTATGCTCAAATGCCTTATTGTAACATTTAACAAGAGGTCTTTGAAACCTGAAAGTCATCATAAAAATCCACTTAGAGGCAGTTTGCCTACAATACTTATTCCATATGTGGATGTTTCTGTCTTACCCAGCTGCAAAAGTCTTTTTGGTAGAAAAGCCGGAACTTCGACAAACAGATGCAGCACTTGGAGAAAATGTCATTCTTGGTACAGTTGTAGGAGTCACTGCTGGAAACCCTGAGATACGACGAACAGGTGTAGGTAAGCCAGACCGTCTCAGACTGGCAGGAGTCATGGAGACAGGCTTCTCAGGAACACAAAAATTCTGGAAGATCCCATCTGCCGAGGCTTTCACAGGAGTGCTGACTGCCATGGCACTAAAAAAAGGAACATGCAATTAGCCAAAATCTTCTAAACCCAGTTTTATTCAAACTATTCTGTCAAAAAGTAGAAATCAGTTTCCTTTTAGTCAATAAGGGTGCAGTAATCATGATGAGGTCGATAACCTCAGCATAGGCTTTAATTCAGAGGAATTATTTAATGAATGACTCAAGCTTATTTAGCACTGCAAAGAAAACCGTCCTCGTCCAAAGCGTAGGGGGGGACGGCGGGCCTTGCTTGGGTTTTTTTTTGTTTGAAGTCAGTTCCAATATGGAACTTTTAAAGATTGTTGCAGCACCCAGCCAGGTGCCATGGTAAGAAGCATGCTTCAGTGCCCTCCATTTTCAGTTATGCCCTACCTTCCAAGGGTGCCACAAAATGATCCAAGAGATGGTGGTGCTGCTTTTGGTGCCAATTTATTTGATGGTGTATCTGAAGACAAAAGTTTTGTTAGCTGCTATCCACATTCATATTTATTTTTTATAACAAATACCTTTCAGTTAAAATACTAATTCCTTCCAGAGATGGACAGAGGTATAATGAAACAAGTAACAAGCATTTGTGGTAACATTTGCTTTCAATAGCCAAGCTAGAGAACAGGTCATGCTAAGTCTGTGCTTACCTCCAGTCTTCACTGGACTATCAGCTTGACTTGTAGGATCAGACAAAACTGTACCCTTGGCCTTTGGACACAGGCTTCCTTTTGTTGCACTTCCATCTTTATTCTGCTGGCAGAACTTCTGCAGATTGGGAACAGAGCTCTGCCTCTGAATCCCACTGCCTACAGCATCAGATGGTGTTGCAAAAGCTGAAGATTTAGCCAAGCTTGAAGCACTAGCTATTTTGGGAGTACTAGCTGATCTTTCTTGCTTCCTGGATTTCTCAGTATTGGCAGCCTGCAGAGATGACACGCTGGTAGGTCTGACAAGGGCCAGTCTGTTTGTACTAGATGAAAGCTTAGAGCCACTCACACCAGCTTTTGAAGATGTGCTTGATTTTCCTGAAATAGAAAGTTATTATACTTCAGAGTAATTGCTTATTGCTTTGACTAAGAAGAATAATTACACTCCTACAGGAAAGAAAAACAGCAATTTACAGCATTTAAATTTATATTCAAACAACTCGAGTTCAAGAAGAACACATCCAACTACTGAAAACTTACTCCAAATTCACCAGCTGTTTTTTCCATTTTAGAAAGTCCCTGCACCAAATTCCTGAATTACTGCAATCAAGTCAAAGAATATTCCTCAAAGAATGCCAGACTGCAGACTAAAGATTACATTTTCTAAATTTTCTCCCAGCAATTTGGCTCTGTTCCCTTAAGTGTAATATTCAGTGTAATAGTTCAAGTTGCACTAATGAGCACCACCTGCTGACCTACCCCACAAGTGCTTTTCTGTTTTCTATATGGCTCTTACCTTTGTAAGATACATTCGTTAATAGGATGAGTCTTGACTAGACACTTCTATTGTATAAAATAATTCTTATTAAGCTTTAACTTTTACTGATATATTACTATCCATCCAGAAACAAAGTACAAAATAGAGATTTGCAGTAACCTGGTATCTTAATAGATCTACAAGAACCATGGTGCTTACATCTGTATTTTTAGACTATTTTCCTGATCCTTTGAGGCTTACTGAAAGGGTCAAATTGTCATCCTCATTATAATATAAGCCTCTTGGTTGTATTCAGTTATCTCCCCCGAGTTATTTTTCCACCTGCTTGAATAAAGTTCATCTTTCATCAGGATTACAGAAACTCAGATTTTGAAACTAGGCCTTCCACCTTCATTCTGTCTTTCAAATGTTTTGGTGTCAAGTTCTTTTGTGTTTTCTTGTGGTTTTAATTCAAGGTGGACAAGCTTACAGCATTCAGAAGCTCATGTACTTGGCTGTAATAGAGAAGATCATGTATAAAAAGAACATGTTTCCTCAGGCATTGCTCACTTTCTAGCTGCATCAGACCCTTACATGTAGGCATCAGGCTTACAAAAACTTAAGTTTTTACAAGTGATAGATGTATCTTTAGTCCACAGGGATTTTTTTAGGCTACCCTATACAATTTTATTCTCCATTCAAAACATTTTTTACTGCTTGCATGCTTAGCTACTTCAAAATTGATTTGTGGCACAAATCTGTAGGAAGAATTATTACCATTTTTTCCTATGGGAGAAATGGGTAAACTTGAATTCAGACTTGAGTTCTTGCTGGAAGCTGATGACGATGATGATGATGAAGTAGCCCTTCTTGTGAGACCACTGGCAACACCAGAAAGTTTCAGTTGTGTTATCTTCTTTAAGCCAGGCTGAATTAGAAAATACAGAAAAAAAACCCTATTTAACATGTTATTGTGCCGTGCTCTTTCTTGGTGTAATAGCTTTTCGTTTGTGAATTTTAGAGAAGTTCCTTCCTCAGAGTATAGTTTTAAAAGTTATTTTCTTTTAGAAACAGTTCAAGATATCTGGATTATTATACAGAACTGGAACATCAGATCTAGGAGGTGAACTGTTATTTTTACTCCTGCCACAAACCTGAGTATGGACTTAAAGGGATTAAACAATAAAAGGAGTAACTCCAGGCACCGGTATATGCTTGGCACCAACGACTTGGAAAGTAGCTTTGCAGAAAAGGCCCTCAGGAGTGCTGGTGGACAAGCTGAGGATGGGCCAGCAACATGCCCTTGCAGCAAAGAATGCCAACAGGATCCTGGGGTGCATGAGGAGGAGTTGCCAGCAGTTGGAGGGAGGTGATCCTTCCCCTCTGCTCACCACTGGGGAGGCCACACCTGAAGATCCATGTCCTGTTCCAGGCTGCCCAATATGAGGGCAATTTGGAGCTACTGAAAGGAGTACAGCAATGGGCCATTAATGTGATTAAGGAACAGGAATCACAGAATCTTAAGGGTTGGAAGGAACCTCAAAAGATCATCTAGTCCAACCCCCCTGCCAAAGCAGGATCACCTAGAGCACATCACACAGGAACGTGTCCAGGGGGGTTTTGAATGTCTCCAGCGAAGGAGACTCCACAACCTCTCTGGACAGCCTGCTCCAGGGCTCTGTCACTGGAACAGTAAAGAAGTTTTTTCTCCAGTGGTGTCCAGTGACAGGACCAGAGGGAATGGCCATGGACTGGAAAATGGCAGGTTCCTACCCCTTAACATCGGGAAACGCTTTTTTACTATGAGGGTCATAAGCTCTGGCACAGGTTGCCCAGAGAGGTTGTTGAGTCTCCATCCTTGAAGATACTCCTGGTCAACCAGCTCTAGGTGGCCTTGCTTGAGCAGGGGTTGGATCAGATGACCCAAGGGGATCCCTTCCAACATCAACCAATCTGTGATTCAGTGGAGTGGATATGCAGCACTGAAGTAGGTGTCTAAAGCTTCAAAACAACTCCTGACAGCTCTAGGTATTCTACCTTTATACAACTTACAGCAGCCTTTTTGTGTGATATATTTAATTATACACATCACAAACTACTTCTTATAGAAAATTGCTGATCACTTACCTGCAGCTAGTGCTTTAAAAACAAAGGTAATGCTTGTTAATTCAAGACATTTACAGTTGCTCCTAAGTTTGTTAATTGCGTTAGAACACACATTCAAGAGCAACAGTTACAGAACAGACTACTTTTCTTTAAAACCATTATACAAAACAATACAACTTTAAATACTAGAGTCAGGGGTTTTTTTTCAGAACATCACAAAAATTATTTGCACATAAAGAATGCTTGCCATTACCTTATTTGGTGCAGGAAGGGCTTTTTTGTTTTGCACTGAAGAACTGCCACTGAACGAAGACTCAAAGACATCTGAAGAAGCACTGGATTTATCAGCAATTAGATCTTCACATGATCCCACACTCTTCACATTTCTTTTTGTGGAAATAATAGCATGTTTTTCTGGTTGGGGCTGCAAAATTCAATGCAACATTTTAAAATGTAGTAGTGTTTTTAGAAACCACTATAAAGCATTTTACAGAAATTTTGTTAAGAAACAAAGACAACAGTCAATGAAGATGTCTTTGAACCAAGTCCTTAGACTAATATAGTTTAAAATTAGTCTAGTGAGCCTGTTTGTTAGGTACCAAATCATACTTGAACCCAGATATTGGGCATCAACCTAAAGACAGCTCTGCAACAAAAATTCATCAGCACAAATTTCACATAATCATCTTCACCTACATATTCTGCTGCTTTACTTAAGCTTTCCAAAAGATGAGACATTACAATAGTAGACTGCATAATCCAAACTTAAGACAGTGGGGTACTATTCAGCTAGTTAAAGCTTTAAGATTCTGCCTTTTCTTATAGCACTCAAATTCAAGAAGACACTTGTATCATCTAGAACTCAAAAGGTTCCCCTCTTTTGTACACATTATGGTTCCCAAGGAGCCAGCATCACACTTTCAGTAAAATCTGCAGTACATACTGAAGCCCTTATAAGGTGTACAGCAATAAAATACAGAAAGTATTCTATATAAAAACTGTGCACACAAGGTCACTAACACAACTGTTTCCTTGCTGCCCTAGAATACATTTTCAGTTTTTTTCATAACCACATCCTAAATGTAACACCATTAGCCAGTGCTTTTCATTATTGAGACAAACTGTGGATAGAAATAAATCTAAAAGATTTCCTGTTATATCAAAAGAATTTTGGGGCTCCCCTCTACACAACTCCATTGACAAGGGTTAACAGTAAACAAAGCCATTTTTGCTCATTAAGGCACTAAGAACAGTGCAGTAATTTTCCCAGCAACAAAACAGTGCTTAAAAAGAAGCCAGAAATTATGGCATTCACAAAACCAGGATACAATGGAAAATATATTTGCTTGCATATGCTCTACATTGTCATAATAGATAAACTAGATGGCTACTATACCATAGTATCTGCCCTGACTTTCTTTTTTATGTATAATAATGTCTTACCCGAGGATCTTAAGAGGCAGAGAAACGTAAGATTAAAATTCACTGTTGGGGAAAAAAAAAAGCTTGTAGACCACATTCCTAAAACACACAAAGGCCATGTTTAAAGAAAACATTGTTTGCCAGAAGCTGTCTTTACCTTTTCAATAGTCAACAAATTGCTGTTTCCAAGAGTAGATGAAGGTTTTGCCATTGGCAGCTTGCCAGTTGCCTTCATATTTCTTTCCTTAGTTTTTTGTTCTTGTATCAGAGGTGAACTGTTAATTTTTGTAGAAGATACACAGATTTTAACAGGGCTTCTGTTTGGAGGATTAGGAAGAGCCTGCATTTTGTCATCTGATAAATGTTTTTCTGATTCCTTCTGAAAAAAGTGTGGCAGCTGACATGCTGGGCTATCCTGCACACAGTATGTCTCCCTCTTAGCAGCCCTGGGACTGATCTCTATTGTTTGGTTTCTCAGTATTTTCAGTTTTGACTTTGAGTCCTCCACAAAGTTTTCTACAATCTTGTTCTCTTGTTCTTCTGATTGGCCTATTTTAGTCTGCTCATTCTTGCTTCCCATCTCTATTTGCAGCGCTAACAAATGAGCTTCTTTGAAAATTTCCACAAATTTCTCTCCTGTAAGTGGGCTCCACATGAGTTTGTCATCAGAAGCAGGGACACTCTTTTCTTCAGCACCTTCTTTTGCTTCGATACTGACAGCAATACATTTTTCCTTGTGTCCCAAAGGTCCAACAAAAACTTCATCTTCATTTCCACTACAAAGACAAAGAAGTGAGCCCAGCACCTTACGTGTGTTCATTTTAAAACGCATATTTACCTGAAGATCGTTCACTTACCTTACTGGAGAGAGTGAAAGGTCAAAATCAAACTTTTCATCAGTCAGAAGAGGGAAGTCTGAAACTATAACACAGACTTTGTCAAACTGGGGATTTTCAATAAAAATTACTGCATTACGTGTTGATGGTTTGGTGAAGCTGGTGTCAGATGGCAAAGAAAGTTCTAGCTACCAAGTCTAAATAATTAAAACATGGTTTAGGTCAAAGAAATTGAAAGCACACCTGCAAATACAATCATAATTGTGACAGACACCAAATATCATGAAAGATCTGAATTCTAATTTCTAAGCATTCATAATAGGGACGTGGGACCTGGCTGTGGGAAAAGGTATCAGAATCCTCCAATCAAGATAACTGAGAATATATAAACTGGAGCTATATGACAATGCAGTTGTCCTATCAGTCAGCTCTTTTCCCAGTTCAGATGGCCACAGGAGAGTACCAGGAGACAATGAGAAAGATTAGTTTTCCTGTTAGCTAAATAACAGCAGCCCATCCAAGGAAACGAGTACAGAGAAGATATAAAGCAGATGCAGGTCGACTGATCTGAACTGTTAACTTTTAATCAGGGGGACACCAGCTAGAGAATACCCCAGCATGTTCTCCACCTACCATTGCCCATGCAACTATCCAGTTTTTCTTCTGCCACGTGACTAGAGGAATATGCTGCCATTTCTTTTGCTTCCTCCACAGTGTCCAGAAGATATGGAATTAGCTATGCAGTAGGCTTAGAAAGAACAACAGTAAGGTCACACAAATTTTGAAATACTGTCAAAATAGCAAGGAGGCAAACATTTCCTTTGAAGACTCCTATACTTAGGGACAGTCACATAAATGCAGTTTATGGGATGCCACACAACCCATCACCCTCCCTTGAAACGTGCTACCACGTTATCTGAGACAGTGTTGCAACCTCTGTAAAAAATCCACATACAGTAGTGACACCTGGGATTTCCAAAATTGCTTAACACGAACTCTTGTGTTCAGCAACTAAACTCTAGATGAGCACAACTGCAAGGGGCAGCTTGTCTGGACAGCTGCAGCAGGACAGTCACCTCACAGGCTAAGAAACCCAGAGAACAAGAACATTTTACAGCACTATCAAGACCGGCACGGCGGCTCCGCAGAGGAAACGCACTCGGTGCGACTTCCACTCACGGAGAGAAACCCACCAGTCGGGATCCTCCCGCAAGGACAGGCCTGTCCCTGCCCTCAGACCAGGCCTTGCCGAGGGGCCGCTCAGACCGGAGCCCTCGGGCACAGCGGCCAGGCCGGAGCGATTCCCGCCGGTCACCGACCTACCAGGGCTGGGCCCTCACGGGGCCGCTCAGGGGAGGC